CATCCGAAATACCCTCTATAATTCGGCTGAGAGCACGCTATTGGTTAAGCTACTAGGGTAGGCGAACATTTGGTTATTTATCGTGCCAACGCGAATTATTGGAACACGCTGCAACAAGCAATCGATAACGCGGCAAGTTGGATTATCCGATCCTTCTCGCGATCGTTCTATCGTATTTGAACTAATTGGAAGATCGCGATGTTCGCTATTTCTTACACGCAGCTACACAGGCTTTTGTTTCTTAACGTTGTTAATCCTGTTAACGTTGCACGTCGTAATGATGTTATCCCTCGCTTTTACGCAGACTTTGTCGATTTATCAGTTGTCCTTAACCCTTTGCAGTCGTATGTCGAGCGTGACCCTTCAGTTCCACGTTTCTTTGTGAAACGTACGAAAGAAAGCCAGGATCGCATCCTGGAAACTGTTTCAGGATATATCCTGCGCTTAAAAATTACAAAATACAACAATAGTAATAAAACTGGTGTTTAAGTGAATTTCTTTCTTCCTTCGGTTATTTAAATTGTCCTATTTTTTAGTTAAAGTAAATTTCAAATAAAACACTTAAAAGCGTTGAGAGCTGCTGGTAACGAAATTGAAATAAAATTCAGAGTGCAAAGGGTTGAAAGACTTGCACGCATCGAACTCGATAGGTCGTTTACATTTTCAACCAAAATTCTTCACGTTAGTTGGTAAAATAAAGCGTCAGTAAAATCGGAAAATTACCAAAAAAAAACGTACTTATCGTGTTTTTTTCCCGGAACCAGTCGTTAATCACATCGTACAACTCATCCGTCTCTGGTCATCGCGTAGCTGTTACGAATCGACCAATTGATGTTATCACAGGTAGAATAATAAATTTGTATAAATCCTAAAGTTCGTTCGTACTGTCGCAGTTACGAGTTTCCCGATATTTTACGTGTATTGTATTCGGTTTTCCATTCCCAATGGTATTCGATTGCACGTTGCAGCTCGTGGACCAACAGCGGACCAGCTTTTGGGTAATCAAGCGGCGGTGTAATTCGAGAAACGGTGGAAAGTTGTGTTCTCGACGGAGAACACAGTGACAAGACCATCCTCTGTGCCCATTCAGATCTGTCCGTCTCACGACTGTTCGTGTATAGCGTTTGTTTCCCGACGTCGGAAAGAGAGAAAACTAACTGTGTGCAATTTGCATACTGCCAGATAACCCAGTAGTCGATCGAATTCTTTTCTTTGCTTTTCACGTCTACGGCCACGGGCGGACGAATAAATTCTTGCTCGATGAAACCAGCGAAGGACGGATTAATTTTTATTCGTAAGTTCGTCCCTTTTGCTTGCAACTACTTTTTTAACTCGTGGAAATTTCTTACTTTGTCCAATATTTCCCGCGAACAGGAAGAACGTCTGGCGTTCGAATGTTTGCATGGGCTGAACGAATTACTGTGACTTTGGAATGGGAAACGCGAGGAATTTCGACAGCCAAAGAAAGTCATTCCGGTTGTTGAGTCTATTGGGTTGGCAACTAAGTGATTGCGGATTTTGTCATTAGGTGGGATTGACAAAATCCGCAATCAATTAGTTGCCAACCCAATACAAATACGTCAATAATCGACTTGTAATTACTAGATATACAGGGTGTGCTAGTATCAATATACAAATCGGTACAAACGAGAAGGATTCTACATAGAGAAAAATAAAAGTCGAAAATATACAATTTTTTCCATTTGAGGCTTCGTTCTCGAGAAAATCGAATTTGAATGGGTTGTACGAGTTGCGTGAGAGTGCAAACAGAAACAACATTGTTCCTCGACAGCGAGAACAACTATAGAAACTCGAACGGTAAACGAGACAGCATAGTTGAGAAATATTATAATTAAAGATTCGCGAGTGTATTACAGGCCTCAAGGAAACTTCTTACGTGGCTAGTGTATTTTCGCGGTTGCGTTTCGCAGCTTCCGGAGGCCGCGTTAGCGTGACATTTGTAACGAAGTGTGCAAGTTGGACGAACTTGGGCTGAATGCAACCGCGTTGGTACCTGTTGTTACGAGCGTTTATTAACGTATTATACAACGTCGACAGATGCACAGAAAGGAGTGGTGGAGGTAGAAGGAAGGGCAGAATAGAACAGTCGGACGAACAGCTAGTTCCGGCAACAACACCTGCTACCGAGTACTTTCGTCCCCGCGGTGGACATAAATTATTCATACGCTGCGCCGCGAGAGCTGCATTAACGTTCGTCGAAACTTATTTTTACTCGTTAAGAAGTTCCTAGGTACAAGATGCTGCGACGTACAGGCTTCTCGGTTGTTTTCGAGGTTTCTTGAGATTAACAACCAACGCGTTTTCTCACCGAGAACTGTATACTATGTAGTAAGTATGTATATGATACATTTGTCGATCTGGTTGAAATTATCAACGCCAGTTACCAACCACCCTGTATAATTCGAAATCGATTAAGTCTACAAAGAAAAGAAAAACGAGTGGGAACGTTAGGATAGTTGAGAGAATCGAAATGCACCTTTCCAAGCAGATAATTCGTTTCTTCAATAATACTAATCACGCATCTATATAATTAAAAGTCAAAAAACTCGCGAAAAGTGGGAATTTGTTATCGATTCGGCTTCTCAGAGGCTCGTATTTCCTTCGAATGTCTCTCTTACCTCGGACTGTACAAACCGATATACTCCGTTAAAACGGACATAGTTTTTCGGTTTAATTTAATTTGTTAAAAAATCGAGGAAGGATTCCGAAAGACTTACGATGTTGACAAAATATTTAACCGCGACTTAGCGAGATGGAAAAGTTTGCCGAAAGATTTCGTTGTTCGCGAACGCGTATAATTCGCGAAATCAGTTTCCTTTATGCACGTGTAATACATTCGTCGCGTGTCTCGCGTCTCGAGCATGTTCTACCGGAGAAATGAAGTTTGCCAATTACCTGGATTCTGGCTTTCAGGTAACGGTGATCGAACAGCCTGAGCAAAGCAACTAAATTATTTCGATACGGAATATCGCGTGGTTCGTCATAGCGACAGAGAATGCACGACGAACACAGCTAATCGCTAGTAATTGCGTTATTAAATTTATTTCAGGGATTAATTCGCCTTCTATCGAAGTATTTCAAGCGTGAGACATTGTTATCTGTTTTCTTGGTTTCTCGGGCTGACATCAGGCGATATCTCTCCGCCCTGAGTCGCCTCTAATTAAAAAAGGCAATTGCTCGCGGTTTATTTACGTTTAGACGTAGCCGTTGCTTTCGTCGAACTCGGTCGAGTATTTACACGGTGGCGAAAAAAAAAGGAATTTCAAAATGAAACGCGCCGTTCCGAAGGACGGAAGTGAATTACGGGAAATCGAATGGTCACGGAGGCAGGCGCTTTACCTAAATTATCCTCGTTATCATTTGTGAACGCTATTAACGAACGCATTATTCCGACGAATGGGTAATGAAAACCGATCAAGTATTCGTACACATCGGCGGAACTTGTTAAGCGATGAAAATTAATTTTTATGGCGATGGTTGCTCGCGATGAAAACTCGGCACGACTTTTCGGCCGAACGAACGTTTACGGTTTGCCTTCGATCGGGAAGAACCGGGTCGCGGCTTTTTACCGGAATCGAATGCATCGAAACGCAGAGCAGAGCAAGAAAATAGATTGGTTTTTGGTTCGCTCGGCGGAATTTATTCGTCTGGATATTCCATGTCTCGTAAAACTCACCGATGTAACGGCAAAGATAACGTCGAACCGATGTTCAAGGAATGCTGTGGAACACGCGTTAGTCGTATTAGCCGCGAATAATTCAACGCCTCACGTTCGCTTATCTCTTTATTTATTCATAACAAGTCATCGAAAAACATATCACAAACGCGTTGCACAATTTTCAGGGAATTCTTTGTAAAGAAAGAAACGAGAGCGGTGTATTCTCCGGCCGAAAATGAGATCGAACATCGCGATATCTGGCGCGGTATTCGTGCAACACAGGAAACTACTTAACGATAAAACGAGCAAGTTCTCGGTGCGCGCCTCGTTACCGCCGCGCCACGCCATCGAGTCCCCTTGTTATTTATAGCATAGACCATTTTGCGGCCATAATAGGTGAACCGTGTCAGTCTCGCGTCGACACCTCTAAAACCATCCTACATATTATATCGGCGAGGATTCAGCAGCGAGTAAGACCCATTGTTCCCGGAGACACAATAGGACCATTTCCAAGCCAATCAAGCATTTCTGCAAAACAATTAGTACTTTCGCGTTTGCACAACAGCCGGTTAATTTGTAAGCCGCGATGTACACGCCGCGATTATCGATTAATCCTTTTCACGGACGATCGTTCTCTTTCCTCCACTCTTTCCCGTTTCTTCTCTTTCTCTTTTTCCTTTTCTTCTCACATTTTTCTCCGCCACGACAGCCGGAAGTCGTTTCAACGACGGAGCAGAAAATTTTCTCTTCTCCATTTGTTCCGAAACGATGGAACATTCTTGACGGAACGGCGTTCGTTTTAAGACAGTAATAACGCCTTTTCGTCGACTTGGCCGAATTTCGCGAATGGCGAACGAGTAAAACGGATGGCGATGTAAACGACGTGGGAGGGTAAGGTGGTCGTAAGACGGAGTGATAAACGGCGACGAAAGGTCTTAAGTTTACGAACCATTACGATCCATTAAAGTTTCACGGCGATCAGACTCCGGCATGAAAATTATTAAACAGTATTAGGCCACGTCGTTCCTGGAACGGGTCACTTAGCGGTGTCCGTAAACGTTCATTAAAGTTCAAGGTGTCGGTTAATGATTCAACGAATCCATCGGTCGGTCGGTGGGTTAGCGCAGGGGTTGGCGCGCTCGGTCGATTCGTTGCGAAAGTTTCTCACGGTTTATCGAGGCTCTGGGATTATTCGTGAAAGTTGAACGACCAACTGGACTATCAGGATCTCGTGAGGTAATTAAAGCTTTAGTGGGCAGGAGCGTTTGCAAGGGGACATGGTCCGAGCCTGAACGTTTCGCAATCAATTGCTGCGCCGATGTAAATAACATTTAATGTCTGTATATTTTGCACTTTCGACTCAGTTACAATTAATTGATTTCTTAGTCGATCGCGTAATGCTGTTTCGGCACGCGTGATCCGCTTGCGGTCGAGCAACGAGATCGACCATCGACTACGAGGAAGAAAGAGTCTTTCATCGCGTACACGTAGAACGAGTTCTTTCTAAAATATCTCTTTGGCTTTGTATCTTCAGTTTGTGTGACTTCACGCGAGTTTCTTAGGATTCTTCGCCTAACGATTAACCTTCCCTTCAGTCTGCTCGATTTTTCCAGAGGAATATTTCTTCGTTGCGTCGAAGGCAAGCGGCTTCCGTCGCTTTCTCTCTCTCTCTCTCTCTCTTCCTTTCTCTCCCTCTCTCACACTCTTCCTCTCGCTCATATTCTAACTGCTCGTTCTCGCAACGAGCTTCTTTGGCTCGATTCTTTTTAGTTTTCTTTTTCTTATCTGTTTTTTTTCCTCAGGGGTTCTCAACGAGATCGTACATCAACAATTAACACGTTGTTCGTCCCTTCGTCGTTTGCGCGTCGTTCAAGGAGGGGGAGGGCAGACAAACGAATCCTCGAACAGTTCACCACGTTCGTTCGATCGAAGCGCGTAGAGCACTTGAATGGCCGCAAGCGACGAACGACGAATCCACAGTATATAATAATGCCAATAATAATGAGCGTAAGCATAAAACGGCTTAACGTCTTACAACGATTTGTGAAGGAACCGGGGTCCGGCCCTTTCTTGCTCTCCTGTACAATAGGAATTATACATAGAAGACGGAACATAAAGCTTTATCGCTTCTCGTAGTAGAAGAACGAAGCGGCAAGATCGATACTTTCGCATAATGGGACACCGGGTACCTCCAGGCTGCCGGTTATCTTTCAGACCTATCTTAAGTCGATTCCCTCTTACAGACATAGAATTTTTTTTCGGCGCACAGATACACCGTTTTGCATCTTTATCGAGTCTTTGTTCGCCAATGATTTTATCTCGAGTTAGTCCCATTTGGGTAGACGAGCTCGACGTTAGAGAGGCGGCTACGAGTGGCCGCGATCCTCAAAGCAAACGTATCGGGACGAAGAATTAAATTGATATGACTTTACTACCTACCGGTCGGTTGCTTTGGAAATTCCAATATACTCGCTCGTAATAGATTCGAAGACCACACGGCAGATAGACGATAAGTTGCTTTTTTTTTCATCCTCTGACTTTTATGTCGTTTGGTAACCGAAAACAAGTATCTTTATACGAAATGTAATACAAATCTACCTTCGTCGATATGAGACTCGTCGATCGAACAAGCCAATTTGATAAAAGTTTTTCAATAAAATCCCGATGTTTAATGGCGAAAACAATTGCGACGTGGAATTGGCTAACGACGTGTTTAATCTCGAGATTGCTCTTCCGTAAAACGTTTATCGTGTTTTTCATCCGTGACCTTCGTTTATATCTTGTTCTGCGAATTCGTTGGCCGAAAGGGTCAAAATAAGTTGGGCGTAGTAACGACGAGCGCGACGCTTTGTTCATTACCGTACATCGCGTTATCTCGTTGTACGTATGGGTTAATTGCTCGAGCCTCCTTGGGGAGGTATCGGCGGCAATACGATTACGCGATAAGTCTCGACCTTCCCGCCAGGCGTGGCTGCCTCCTCTAGGTTGGTTAAACAGTTTCTCGATTCAAGCGATATACAATCGTGCGAACGCTTTTACGAGCGCAACGTAAACGTAATCGCATTTCGTTGTATGGCGCAAAGGTTGCGGATAACGTAAGTTCTTTGCGTGACGTATCGAAACGCGGCGAACGCACAGTTACTTGGAATTAGATGGAACAAAGGAACATAAAGGACAGCGCAAGGGATTAGGAAGAGGGAAGGGAACGAAGGAAGCGAAATGATACGAAAGGGAAATAAATAAAAGGGCAAGAAGGAACAGGAGTAGCAATCGTTCGTATAGATTTAACAACGATTCGAAGCAACATCGTGGCAGATCGATCGCCTTCGATCAGAGGAACGAGAGGATAGAAAGAAAAAAATGGGATAAAAAGGGCGACAAAGATGGATAGAGTGGAAAGAACAGCGGAGAATCCGTGTGAAATGTCTCAGGGCACGGAAAATGTTTCCTCGTTTCTGCAGTGTTCGCTATGTTTAACCGTAAACTCTTTTTTTCTTCTTTTTCATATTTTTTGTCTTCTTTTCCTCCTTTACGTTACATTCAACTTCTCGATTTTATTACTTTTTTTTTTTCTTTTTAAATCTTCGCTATGGGCTTAAGTTCTAGTCGGAATTCTTACGCGCTAACGGGACGTGTGCCGTCCACCGTGGATCTTACGATTAGCAATCGATCGAACAGCGAGAATTATTCGAGGCCTCTGAACGACCTGCGAGGAAACGGTCAACGAAACGACGAACTTGAATATCGCCGATGCGAGCAAACGGACGAACCGTTCGCTCCAACTAAAAATCATATGCTTTACAAGTGCTCTATACTCTACTAACCGGTGCTCGTAAATATATTTCGACGATGGTCGAAGAGAGGAACTAAAAAGTCGAAGAAACAACCGGCGACGATAGTCGTACGGTTGTCGAACGAACGATCTCCTTCGATCTCGCATCGATGACACTCGTAAATCTCATAAAATCAGCAATCTTCATCTTCTATTTACAACATGGCTAATTATAAGGTATCGATACTCTACACTCGTCCTAATCATCGGACAGATGTCCCTGATGCCAAGGAAGAAGAAGGTTTTACTTGTTTTTATTATTTGTTTAATTCTCCCGATCGTAGTAACGCACCTATCGTTAAGTTGTTAGGCAATAACGCAACAATACATATATACATGGTTTATAATTTCTACTGGCGAGCAGTATTTTGTGTTGTATTACGCTTATACGGTAGAAAACTCAGATTCAATGTGCATCCACCTCTCCATTTCGTTCCGCACGCTTTTCTTCCTCCATTAGCGCGAGTGCCGCTCTCCGAGAATATCACCCCTCGTTCTCCACCTCCACTCTTTTCCGCTATCTACTTTACAAAGTTTTCATATCTTACGGTACAACTTTAGTTCTCGAAATGTTTCTAAGGAACACGGCCCGACCGCCCTCTTATAACTCTTTTCTTATTTATATCGGCATCGCGAACGAAGAAGCGAGTCCTCTCTCTATCGGGTCGCCGTTGTTTTTTCGCTCGTCGAATCTCATTCTTTTTTTTTTCTTTTTGTTCTTTGCTTTCCTTTTCTTTTAGCGCGAGGACGCCGGGCCGTTGGATAACGCGCGACATCCTCGATTCGTTCATCGAGGACGATACTATCGCGCGACGCGAGTCCAAATGGTCCTACATATACTTTTATGTTTGATTAATAACGCATCGTTTTATGTTTCTTTGGTGTCTCTACGAGAGTCGTGCAAGCGGTGAGTAAAGACGTCGATTTAAAGACAAACGTTGATCGACAGATCAAAGAGCAGAGATCTCGTGTATATACGTAGATATATAGACAGGAATACATTTCTTTTTTTTTTTGTTTTAGTTATAACCTATAGCGTGTATAGTACTTTAGAGAATGAGAGATAAAAGTGTACAAGTATTAATAGTTTTTCGTGGGAGTAAAATCGAATAGAAATCTCGATACGTTTAGTGGGTATAGTAAGTTTAGTACGTTTAGCTTTATTTGTAGAAGAGACATGGCCAGCCCCGATACACCGATATATCTCGTCAAGGAGAAACGTTTCGATTAAAAGAAAATACGAGCGATTCGACGAACGAAAGTTACGTTTTTATTTCTCACGCCAGTTCGCCGGCTCGTTTCGCGAGTCTCCGATTTGCGCGTGAATCGTCGCAACGATAAACGATAGTCGTTCGATTTACTCGCACTGTCGTCAAATTGCTGCACGTTTCGCGCACAGACGACGACTCGCCGAATGTTCGGTTTCGAATTGTTTGGTCCGAATGGAAGGTTCTCTCTGTAGAACGTTGGTCGTTTCGCGTATGCAGTTGACTAATCAACGGACGAAAGTCGAAACTAGCATATACCGAAGAAACTATAGAGACAATATCGCGTTCAATAGACGATTCTTCTGTTCGAGTTTGCAATTACATGCTGGTCCAGACTGTGCGTATAACCGTGAAGTTTGATTCTTTGGATTAATTGATCGATGCAGATACCTTGTTTCAGTGATAATTTGCACAACAACCGAATCATAACCAGAAACCAACTGGCTACCACTGGTCCGCGCGATTTTTTTTTTTTTTATTTTTAATCGAACTTAGTTTACCCACGTTTACGCTAACTATAAAATCGACTAGCTATGTTTTAGCTAATTTTTCGTTTGAAAATCACAGCAATTGAAGATGTTAGAAGTGAAAATAGATAATCAGTGGTAGCTATCGATGTTAAATCAGCCTACTAACGTAGCCACATGATTCTACGTGATTGTCATAAAGAAACAACGAAATTGTCCTTAAAGATACGCAACTCTGGATAATATACGCGTATATATATATATATATAGATACGTAGAATTGATAGCGACGAGAAAAACGGAATCATCGGGACCGTTTTCGATACGACTGAAAGTGATAAGTGAAGAAATGGAAATTGGTCTGAAGAATTCGATTTGATATATTCGGATAAAACGACGAAAATTCGTTCCGCGAGTCTTTTCAAGTCTTATATATATCTCAAGAATCTGCATCTAGCGGTTTTGGTTCCTTTGTTTTCGATAATAACTAAATCCTACCGATCGATACTTCGTACGTAATCTAGAAATGCCAATTTCTAAACTAAAACCCTGCTAATTTCTATCCAACTAATCGTCGCGATCGTTCAACACCTTTGTATAGAAAATACAAAACGTATAAACACGTTGGCTCGGCGCCTAACAAAGTATCTTTTATTACATAAGTATTCGATTTAATCAACCTACGCGAGAACACTGTTCGCTCGATGCGTTTCTAGTTGTTCTAATTCGTTTAAGTCGAGCCACCGATGGCCGATCGCCTCGAGGAGGCTGCTTTTGTTTCGCATTCTTTTTCTCCGCAGATACGCGGTTTCGTATAACCAGTACAAAGTACCTGGTACAAAGTAAAAGAGGGAAAATGGGAAAGAAATCGGCGTCAAAGGAGACGTCGGTTCCGACGAGCATCGAATCACGCGAATTCGAGCTATCAATTTTGCTCGACCCGCAATGTCTCTTATCCCATGCGACGTATTTGCAATCAATGTTACTCGCTCGAAGGTATCTGAAAACCTTTGCAATATCAGCGGCAAATTTTAGCGAGTTTCCCTCGACTCTATGGAATTCCACAGAGGATTTTCGTTATCGATTCGCGACGTCGACGGGAGCTGGGGCTGGCCATGCGAAAACGACGTTCTTAAATTCCAACAAATAGAGAATGTCCATCAAAGAGCAAAGCACATTTTCCGCTCGCTGTCGTTCGATTCTAAGTATCTACTTAAACAGCAAACATCGGTAGGCATGATTAAATGGAAAATCCTCGAGTGCCGTGAGCGAGCATTATAATTTCCATTACTTTCGGTTTACGAGGTTTTGCCCGGCGGTCTGCTTGCATTTTGTTTGCCGGGCTATTCGTTTCCGTTCGAGCGGAATGGCCTGGATCGTTTATTTTATCGCGAGTTCAATTAAGAAATTAGTTGGCCGAGTTTCCAATTTGTTGCAGCGCGATACAATTCGGTGAAAGAAACGCTGGAATTTTGGCCAGGCGATAGGAGCACGGCACTCGGCAACGTTTCCCTTTAATCAGCGTTCGTCCTAATTCTAACGAGTGAAAAATACTTATCCGCGAGCTGTCGTTCGACAACGACACGAATTTCAAAATATTCCATCGAGTGAAAAAAAGGTAGAAACTAATCGGTCGGTCCAGTGATCACGCGTCAACCGCGTGATGCAACGAAATCTCGTTTGTTCGCAAGGTCGGGGACGCTTCGCGACGATGCTCCTCATAGAAGGGAAAGAGGGGGAAAAAGAAGGGAAGAAATGTAAAACGAGGATGAAGATAGTGCCGCTTCAAAAACGACGCTCGGCGAATAAAACGAGCGAATTCAAAGGACCGTTGGTGGCATAAACACGCGGCCATTGAATTCGTTTTGTTGCAAGTCCGCTTAACAGGATTGAAAGGATCTTGCACGAGAGACTGGATGAAGAGTAATTGGAATAAATGCACGAAGAAGAGAGATCGTCCGTTTCCATAAATTCTCGCCGATAACGCTGCTGGACGTGTCGATCGTCGAGGTACGCGTAGCACTTTTGATTGCGTCTGATCAATCGTTTCCATTTTCTCCGTGTGCGACTCGGTGCAACTGGCTGCAACGTCTATAAAACGCCCTATCGATCTTCCCACGTACTTGTACCACGAAATTCTGTATCCTGTGAATTTCAAGCGAGCTTCCGGCTCGTGTGAATTTCAATCGCCAGTGATGAATCGCGTCCGATCGCGAGAAAAACGGCGCGACGCGACGCGCAGGAGACGTCGTTCCTCGAAGGGAGCGAAGGAGGTTTAGAGTTACGATAGAACGATTCCGTTTGTAATGGTACATACGAGCGAAAAGTCAAGCATCGAACGTTACGCGTTAGTAAAATGGCTATGTTAGCGAGCAACGGGCAGCCGTTTAGACGGCCGAGTTGCTCTTCGAAAGCAAATTGAAAGGTGAATCAGGTACTTAGTAGCAGAACGTATTTTCACGCGCATACCGTTTCGAAACGATGAAACGCACGGTCGCGACGAAGCACCTCGTTCAGAACAGAAATCGACGAGTTTTCTTCTTCTTTTCTCTCTCTCTCTCTCTCTCTTTCTTTCTTGTTGGTTTACGGCGACGTTTCCCTTGCGATCGAAAAGCTTCGATAATTTTCTCTTGTATCGATGACGATCGTTCGTCCAGCAGTCGAACCTCGAGAACCTGGTAACTCTTCGGATCCCATTTACGGTTTATCACTTCAACGCTTTGCTATTGAGTGTCGTCTACATACGTCCTACTGTATGTGTATACTTATACATGTATATGTGTATATATATATATATATATATATATATGTATATCTGTATATGTATGTATATATATTAAATCTCTTTGAACGGTTCTCTTATTAAAATATCTATATCGTATGTATACATACACTATATACTTCTTTTCTCCTTTATACACACATATGTATATCTGTGATCTTTTTGGCTGACATGGCGACCGTGTGTGGTCGCTTATACGATGCTTTCGCAGATTTTGCTTCTTCTGTTTTAAAAATTTCCTTCACCCTACTAACATCAATTTCCCTCCCACCCCAACCCACCCCCGGAGCGAAATGGAGTGAAATAAAACGCGAGGCCCTCGGCTGGGTTGTGTAAACGGTTATGCGGCGTACACTGGAAGGTAGTACTCCGCGTAATTGGCTAAGGTTCACGAGGGATCGCGTGTTTTTTAACTCCGCTAGCGTCGTTTGCAGGCAAATCGAAGGGAAGAAACTCGACGGAGACCCCAACTTTCACATCGTGTTCCTTTGATTGATTTATTTTTTGCTCTCCCTCTCGCGGATCATCAGGGATCACCGAAATCGATTTACAGATGCTCAAAAGCAAATCTACGCGCGTGGCATTCGATCGATCGACAACTGTGCACGGAATGTCGTACTATGTCAAGATCGTTCGTCGATCGTTTCCCAACTGCCACCGAGTAGCTACGTACGAAGTTCAGATTTCCGGGTAATTTTCTACGAAGAATTTTTTAAGAAACGAACCGTGAAAGATTTCCTAGACCTAGAGCCGAAACGTACAAAAGATCCTCTTAATTTGAAAACAAGCACTCCGATTAAAGATCAAATACACGTTGGTAGACTCGTTTCACAACGAAAGCTTGCGAGAGAAGGCTATTTCTTCGCAAGAGCTACTTCTTGCTCCTTCGCGCGATAAGTTGGGAAGTGTAATTGGCTCGGATAACATCTCGAGCCTCGTCAAAGAAACTAATTCATCGTAGCCTTCGCTACCAGGATAATGGAAACATCGAAGAAGAATGATAGCTTGGATTTTCTTATGTGCGTTTGGTATTCGTTCGTCGAGCACCAACCATGTGTCTGCGACACTTCGTATAAACTGTACTGCTAGAGTAAATGCTGTTCCAGCGGTAACAGTGTGCGTGTGTTTTCCTTTGAATTTCCTTTCGACGTCGAGTTATTTGAAGCAGCCTTCCGACGACCACCAAGTGACTCAGAAGCTATCTTCAAACGACCTTCGAGTGATCTCACGGTGAAATTCTTTCTTCGCAGGAGAAGCATCGAAGAAACGCGATGAAGATTTCAAAATCGAACGTTCTATCAAGCGTACCGTACAAGATTATATAACATGATTTTTAGAATTAACGACCTCCAAGTCCCAGACTCTGTTTCTGCGGTAGATTCGGTTTGCTTCCATCTTCGACTCGACGCAAAAGGAAACGCGGTAGCACGGTGCGGATTGACGGAGTGTTCTCGCCGGAATTCCGGGTCGTCGGAGTTCCGCTTGACCATCCGGTGAATCTTTCCACGACTCTTCCGCGTCTTTTTACTCTGGCGCGCGCGTTCAAGCCGCAGCCGCGTTTTCTCTTGCGTTTTTCTGCCTGCAAACGACTTGCAATTCGCACGAATTGATTCGCTCCCCGTGAAAATCCGGTTCTCCTACGTTCTGCGTCTACCGAGAGATTCTTCGCAGGTACACTGCCCCTATTGGCCATTTCATCGTGTCCTCGGACGAAAAGGGAAGCACGCCTATCCCTTGTACATCGTTTTGGAAATCGTTTAAAGGCTCTTTCGCAATTCGCTCGTAAATAACGAACATGATCACAATTATTTCTTTACGACTGGCCTCTTTTATCATTTTCCTGTTAATTACGCGCGTTTTCTAGGGTGATAAGGCTCGTTCGACGATCTGAGCGTGAATCATTCATCAGCTATGTCTGCAAATTTTAACGACCTTGATAATTTTTGTCGTTCCTCGGAGATTAACAGACGGCAGAATTATCTGCTATATTTAATCCACGACGGAAAGGCGAGAGTCAAGGACACGTCGATGAGAATCCGTATCGCGAGACTGATTCGTATCGCGGACGTGTTCTCCTCGATTGCCTCGGTGTACGGTGAAAATAATACAGTAAATACTTTAGTCAGTTACAACCTTTGCAGTGTTAGTTAAATCTCTACGTAACTATAGGTTTTTAGACGAGTGGCCGTTAAGGACACGTTCAACTACAATAGATTCAGCCACGTGTCGGCCGATCAGTGTTTCGCTAAAATTAATCGAACAGTTGTTCTCACTGAGAACGTTTAATAAGTCACTGTGATTTTTCGAGTATCCGACGGATATCCGATATCAATGTCGAACCTCGAGCACACGGTCTCAGAAACTCACTATTGCTCGTGTCGATGCGGCTGTTTTTAACGCGTGCTCGCTTTTCTTCTTCGTATGCTTCTATTTTTTTTTTCTTTTTTCTTTTCCTTTTACATCGTACGTGATCTACGTCGTTCTACTAATGTCCGTTCAATTGTTTTAAGGTTACTCGACGCGTCAGGTGTTGAAGCGACCGTCGATCAAAGGCAGTGAACACCAATGAAAATTTCGACATTCGAACGAAGGCCGCCGTACACCGTGCGCGCGTCTTTCATTATGTTTGTCGCACTACCTAATTTAATTCTTAATAAATAGCAAACATGTTTCATCGTGGTAACGATCTAAGCAATCGTTGCGGCGAGCTGGCTTATTATCGAGATCGCGCTTCTATTACTTTCTATCTCTCCTTTTATTTTCCGTTCGAGAGTCATTTATTGCGAATAGGCAAAACCACGGTCGAGACGAAATACTCCATCAGCGTATTGGCTAAATCGATAAGTACGATCGATATAACGCGATTAAACAGGATGTTGGTTTAAAAGGAATCTTGCCAGCGTCCGAGGGATTCTAATGTCGAACGTTTGTCTTCCTATTCGAAGAATCTTACCCCTTCGCGAGGGAGTCGGTGAATAATTTGCGCTTCCACTGTACATTGCCTTGCTCTCGCCGCGGCTATATATCTTCAACTTATTTATCTACGTGTAGTATTCCTGTGTGAGGTCGCGATTCGGACTTTTCTCATGCAAATCGATTCCGATCTACGACTTCCTTCGATATAACGGAACTCTACGGCCGCCCGGAAAACTTATCGCGACCGCGGGATCGCGAAAGATCGATGAGCGTTCCGAAAGGAGCGTCGTATGATAATATACGTTTATATAAAATTAGCGACATCGTTCTCTGGCGAAAGAGGAATGGCAATACAATCCGCTACTAAAATACCATAGAAACCTGTGTTCCATCAAGGACTAAATAAATACGCTATTTATACGTACGTGTGTCTGTGTATATAATATATGTATATAATATATCCTTCTCTGATTTTTGTTATCTTGCATTCTATTTGATAAGAGCCGTGAACGTACGAGCCACGGCCGGAGACTAGAACGCGTTCCTTTCGTACGTCTTATTACGTTAAATTATGTTTAAGGCAAACTCACTTTACTTCCTCGCACACGTAAGCTTCTCCTTTGTCCATCTCGTACATCCTCCCTTCTCCTCTTCTACTCACTTTTCTCTTCTACTTCTTCCCTTTCCTGTGATTAACTGCTTTCGTTTCGTTCCCAATTATTCGCTCCTTCTCACACATACTCGCGCTCTCCCTTTCTCACGCTCATTCTCTCAGGTACCTACGCACATGCACGCATTCGATAACGCCACGCGATCACGTTCGTTGTTGTTCATCCCGTGTGTGGGAGGGTGAAAGCTACCAGTGATTTTCCGGCGCACAGTTCAGACAGTTCGTTCGCCAGCGAAATCGCACCCTTTCGATTCCACTTCCCTTTTGTCCTGAAAGTAGCAACGATAAGTCAGTTAGATAAAGAATTCCTCTCTTGGGCATCCGTCAACTCCTCGCATTCTCTTTCCTTTCTGCAACGTAAAATTCGTTTGCTTCTGATCTCGCGTGCACGAAGCCGAATTCCATTCCTCGCTGTTTAGTAGACCGACGCGGCTCTGACGCTATATTTAAGCTCTTAGACTGAGACCGTGCCAAGTATAGTAAGAATGATAGAATTTCCGAGCTACGGCAGAACTAGAAATCTACCTGAACTGATTCGCAGTGGCAGTGCTAGCAGTTTGCCAATTTCTTCTACTATATCACTATTTTTCGCTCATATCGTAGGACTTCGCGTTCCGATAGGAAGATTCGATCGATAGGAGTTCGGCTAATCGGGCATTAGCTACGATTTCGTTCTACTCTGATAGAGTTCTACCGCGCTGCACTGAGAGTTGGACAGAGTTCAAGGAATGCGTTCCGATTCATTGTGACGGGTTAAGCTGCAATTTTACATGTACTTTCGACTGTAGCGTCTGACTGGCCAGAAATCTACCGATCGCGTCGTCTCGCGACATGAAATTCCAGTCATTTTTGCAACTTCGTCTAACATCTAAACGCACCTTCGTGTCCCCTTGTCTTCTTGTCTCCCGTATACAAAAAAAAAGAAAAAAAAGAAAAAGTACAGAAAGGACCCCATTGTAACTTATTTGTAGCATTGTAATAACAAGGGACGTTTGGCTTCGTTAATGTTCGAAGGGAATCTGTGCACGTTATACTTGCCGAGAGAACGTTTCGTTGAGCACACGTCTTGGCGGACGCGACGAGTTTAAGATACACGCGGAGCGGTTGTAGGCCGATGTTTGCGAGCGTTGAACGGGCTCCTTTTAGAAGCCCTCGATGTAGCCGTAGGCCTCGAGGATCGACATAATGAGGTAGAACACCCAGAGGAAAAAAAGGACCAGCGACGTAACGAGCTTCGGTACGAAAGGTCCGCCGAGTTCGCCGCCGATGTTCTTCGTCCGCCTCAGTAGCAGAATCAGGATTACCAGGCAAGCTTCCGTGCAGAACAACGTCACGCAGAAGGCTAAACTGTTGCAAAAATAATTATTCTTCCTTTATTAATATCTTTCGCTAATACTTTATGTATAAACCTATCTGTAATTTATTTCTATTGGGATTATAACAGAACGTTATTCGTGCGAATTCACGAAGAGGCAAACGGTTCGTTCGAGCAAAGTTCGTACAGCAAGAGTTCGTGGATCTTCTTCGTGGCGAACTTTCGCAATATTTCACGAGCATTCGTAACGATATTCTACGATAGGAGTTCATGTTTAAACAAATGGGCGAGATTCCGGTTAATCAGACACTAAATAAAATTTCGTTCCGATATATTGCAAATGTATTTTATATTTGACACTGTTGAGATACGTGTAATTTTCTGTGCTGGACTGGATTAAATGCGTAGTAGAGATACTTGTATGTGAATATCAGTGTGTGTCTCGAAAACAAAGGAATGTAAACTGTTCAGTCGGTTAAGAGTTGGTTAACAGTCGGGTGTAGAAGAAAGTGCTGAGACGCGTATCGATGAATATATAAGGAATCGTTCGTGAAATAAATATATCATTATTTTAATATTAATCCTCAGTATAAATTTAGTGTTCCTATAACATTATTTCGGCTTCAAAGATCCACAATTTTCAACAGACACAACTGTCGTCGCGTCGATCGAATTTATTTGATCTTCTGTCACGCGAATAGAAAATAATCGATAATCGGAGAAATTAGGAAACTTCTACTGTACGAACTGTGCCGTTATACGAGCTGTTTGTTCTCTAGCGAATAAATGGAGTTTGAAAATATAAACGGGAACAATAGACGCGTCTCATAACAAACGCGAAGTGAATTCCCGACGTGGGTGACGTCGAATAAACCGGAAATCTCGCTGTATTTCGCTGTGGAAAATCGCTTCAAAGAGTGACACATTGATAAAGAGAAATAAATCACAGTCTCTTTATGTCAAACGCGCGGTACCCGGAGTCATGTTATCAGATAATGGATGCAAAGTCGAATCGATCGATACTCGAAACGCAAAAACGATCGAGAACATTATAACGCCATCTGTGCACACACCGTGCAACTACAATCGTTTGGTGCCGCTTGTTCGCGTCGCATCTGTTGCCATTCGAATGATTTATGGCTTAACAACGGATCGATGTTGGACAAATTCGATTGAAAAAAAGAGTCAATTTATTCTTAGATCGATCGTTTCACCGTTCATCCGGATAACTGACCGTTGCTACATCTAGGTACATGTTTGTTTTCACGACGCGATTCGATTCCACGCCCGTGAAATATTCCCTGCGAAACGTTGGCCTGGGCGGATTCGAGTTTCGCGGAGAGATGCGCTCGAATAAGATTCGTGATACGTTTTACCTCGCCTTGGAAATTCATGCGAGGCAGGTTCCGCCATCGGCAGCCTAGCTCTGGCAGGCGAGAAAATTGGGCGCAGCTAGAGAAACGCAGCGTCTTACTCGAGGGAATGCATGATTACGACCATGAGTTACGGTTTGTGGTAAGATCGAGCCGCGCCGCTTGCATTCTGTAAACCACCGCTCGCGCGCGACCTAGAATATCTTGTATTTTTAATAAGACTTCAATATTTGATGTAGGTAACGAACATTGCACATGCATTTTGCAAATACTACATTGGCATACTATTTTTGGACGAAGAATATCAAGCTAAATTCTTATTCCTATATTTAATCGACGACTATTTATCTTTTTCCACTTTTGAAACAGATAGAGCTACTGCCTTGAGACTTTTGAACGGGGTTGTACATTTTCCCTATCGAACAGTCTGTGAGTGTTTCGTTTCTTAGACGGGATACCGTATTTTGTAATTCGAGAGAATCATGGCCCATAGGAAAAAATTGATACGAAATCGTACCGCTTCGATCATCTACACGGTCACTGTCGCGTTAAGAGCAATTTAGATTCCATTTTAGATCGTCAGATAAATTAACCTCTAAGACTGTGAACGTTCTTACCGAGCCCTCAAACCGTAAACCTCTTTCACGTCCGATGCATTTTTCAGTAGGTGATATATTCCTGCGAGTAGGTTTACGTAACATCTTCGAACGCACCGAATTATAAAACTTTTGCCAAATATCTTTTACCAGACGAGGGGAAAACAGGTCTCCTATCTACTACCTTTCGGTCGAAATAATTCAGGATAACGAGATATCCATCTTTGCAGTTTGAAGGTTGATCACTGTCAACAGCGAGTTCCGATATCGAATTGTGTTTCTCTATTGCTATTTATATCTATCGTATTAATTCCACCGAGAATACGGTTTTATTTATTGAAAGTCGAAGTTCTGTTCAGTGGCACCTACGCGCGTCGATGCGATGATTGACAACGGTTAGCGATAGAACGAGTTCCGTTACGGATTTCCAAAAAGAGACGTCGAACGGGGCCGGTATTTCGAAATGCGGAAATTTATGCCTGGACGGCTCTTTACAGAATCGGGCGTCACCCGCGTTCCGATATTTCACGTCGTCGGTAATATCCGTATCGCGTATTACGTCCTACACAATATTCCTGCCGATACGTCACGGATTACAATTTTCTAGACCAGGACACTGTCACCGGTGTTGGTCGCGATTCAGTACATAAATCGACGATGCACCGCGGCGCTGGCCAAGTTTCTCTTCCAATCTCGGACCAAATTTCTTCAAAGCGTTTCCACCGTACGAGATCGTAAATGGCAAACGACGCTCTGTTATCTGGCTTATGTCCTCGTGTTTTACCTGATATTGTTTCATTTCACGTCATCCGCTCTTATCCGGTGCCCGTAGCAGCATCGACGCGTCGCGACACAGATCACTATCTCGGACTGCAAGCCGCGTTTCGAACGTTCCACGAAACAATCTCCGAATCGAGATTCATTTTAGGGCCTGAAAGCCATTCGGCTGGCTTTTTACGACCGGATTGCAGATGCTGGTCGAAAGACATCTGCATTACGAAAACTATACCAGCTGGGACTGAAACTATTGTATTTCGTCGTCCTACGTATATCATATAGGCTTTGTGTCACCGTGTAAGCACTTGTACGTGAAATCGATTGAGCTTCGACGTGTAAAGTGACGCGAACGTTTTCCACCGAGCCAATATATCGTACAGATCGAGGACAGCGGGGAAAACGTAGAACGTTAGAGAATTGAACGTGCATTCGTTTGGATCGTCGTAAACGAAACGATTTCCTCGGTGCCGTTCTCCATCGAAACTGCCCAATCTCGAAAGTCCGTATTGTTTTCGCAAGTTTCGTTACGATAGATCGATCCCGTCAAATCTGTTCTCTCGTGTTTCCAGGCGAAAGTTCGGAAAGAGCGTGTCGAGTTCAACGAGGCTGCTCGCAGCGAAATTTTCACGTATCGAATCGTTCGCGAATCAACATAGCGAGACGTCGTCACCGCCTTCGTTTCTTTATATTCGAACGCGTTACGATATTTTCAAAAATTACGATTAAATCCGATAAACACAGACTGTTTCAAAATCGATAATCAGCATAGGAATTTTTGTTCTTTGCCGGTGCTACAGTTATTTCCTTTGAAACAACCTGTACAAATGGGATATCGAGAAACAAGAATGAATCGATACTGACTTGCCCGGTTCTACCAAAAACTTTTCACCGTGCAAGGCATGGTAGATGGCTGCGATGCTCCATGCAATGCCGATCCCCAGGAAGACGTTCACCGCGTTACTTCCGGTCACGTTGCCCACGCTCGCATCGGCGTACTTGTCCTGGCAGGCGGCCACCTTGCTCGCGAACGTGTCTGCAATAAAGTCATACGCTTAGATTTTTCTTCTCTCTGTATCGCCTTCTTCTCTTTTCTCTTTATTTCTCCCTCGTTCTACCTTTTAACCTCTTCTTCCATACAGTTTATCGATTTCCAACGATTTCCGCTTACACAGACCACGCAATACGGCGCGTGGATAGTTGTTTTTACTTTGATTTGTCGCGAATATAGGAAATAGGGAGGGGGTGATGCAGAAACGTGTGTCGTATGTCGAAACGAAACTCGGCGAAGCTCGTGGCACACCACGATTTGCGGCAAAATCTTGACACAGCTAAACTACAAAAGCTTGACTACGGTTAGTTGCTCGTTTCGTTATAGAATCAGCTTTGAACGTCGTATTATTGCAACCGTGACCTACCTAGTGGTTCGCGAAATATCTGAACAGCTTCAAAAATATTTTACCAATTACTATATGCGTTATACGAGACATTCTCAAATCTCTGTAGCACTGTAATGAGATCCAAGTGTCCTGTGTATTTTTCAGATACGTTAAAATGTTCATCAATATAATTACGACAGTTGTATCTGGTGTCAGTATTCATGAAATTTCAAACTGCTCATAAAATATACATGAAATATTTTCGCGAACCAGCGTACATGAAATACCGATATAGCGAGCGTGTAACTCGATCAGTCGTTTCATAATACGCGTGACACGGTTGTTCCGTAAAAAGTTACGATCACCGAGTCGTCAAGTCGACGACTCACAGAATGGTAGAGTTACGCGCGCGAGACAAAGATCGAGGTTTATAGAGGAATGTACGCTGTGTGTGTGTGTCTGCCGGAGGTTAGGAAATAATCGTATTTCCGGTCCCCGGAAGTCTTTCGTGGCAGCAGAAATTTCGAGCAACTTTGCGCGTAACTCTTCGACCCTCCGCTTTCGGTAAACGTCGTTAAACCATCGACGAACACCGAGAAAAATTTCTCGTAAATTTCGTTCCCAGCTTTCTCAACGATCTAATAAATACCCGTGTGCTCTTGCTAGCTTCCGGGAACGTAACTTGCACAATGGTTTCGGCCAAAGTCGTTCGAGTTAGCTTACTTATCGAGAGTTATGCAGAGCGTACACGTTCCAAAAAGCGGATATCCGGAGCAAGCAACGGCGTTTAATCGGGAATATGTTTCGCCATATGCGTCGCCGCTACTTTCGTCAGTTCTTGTTATTGGTCGTTGCACGGGTCCTATCGCGACGAGAACAACACCGTGTACACGGATGCGCGAACCAGCTGACGTGAATGGTCGAAGGCGTACTTACGTATTCGTGTGTATATATGTATGCGTTCGGATTAAAACCTGTGCAGCTTGTGCACCGGCTCATTTCAGCTACTCTTTAACCGACTATGTCCATATATAGCAGGGGCTTTTCGCCTGGAAACTTTGACGCATTGGATATCGCGTATTTGGTTTGTTCCCGATGCTGAATACACGTTGCTAAGTTTGTGAAAGATAGAAACGGAAAGAATTAGCGACGACCGTAAGTTTGGTTTCCAGGTGAATCTGAGAAGTGGTGAGCTGAGGTTTTTCAGACTCCAGCAATTTCTACTTTCATGGGAATTTCGAAAATACCTGATTTTCTATCCTTTGAATCGTTCCTTTCTCTGAACATTAAATGTGGGTTAATTGGGAAAGTTAAATTCAGAAAGATCGATCGTTAAGAGTAGATAGGTGCATACGTGTTTCGGTTATACGTATAGGGTGAAAGCAAAAGGGAGTCCGGTTGTTTCTTCTTTAATTAAAACACCTTGCTAGGCGTACCTTCGAGAACTTTAACGGCAGCAGCACGATTATCTCGGCCATCGCCGACTCGATTATCGCGCTAATTTGCATATATTTCGCGACTTTTAGGATCGTCGTCTATTTCCATTTTGTAATTGAAAAATTCTCCGGAGAATCGCATTCTCTCTCACTCGTTGAATTTATGCGCGGAGAAAAATTGAGACAATATATGATCGTACATGGTGCGTAGATACCGTTACAATTTCTATGATTTTCTCGGTATTTGTAAGATGCGTTTCCAGCCGTCGGGAAATTCGGAATCGTAGCATTTTCGAATCATTTGCCAGAGGATCGTGCACGATAGCGATTTTTCCCTGTAAGACAGTCATGGATAGGAAATTAACGGGACGTTATGGCGACGACGTGTCCCTCCATTCGACGAATCTCCTATTCGCACAGATTGCGTGCTGCCCATTCGAATCAATTACACGGCCATTCGAACATTTCTAGGAATGTCCACGATTCGATATCGAGAAAATTTGTATAATTCACGGCTCGAGGATTATTTGGGTAACTATCGGCTTTCCAAGCGACGCGTCCCGTACTTTTACGAGCTCCGGGGAAACTTCCTCGCCTGGTAAAATCTCATCAATATTTATGCCCTGGTTACATGCCTCGTCCGAGCCAAGCTTCCCCGCATCCTCGCCACAATCTTCGTAGATCGGAATTCTTCCTTATTGTCCTTTCGTCTCGAGAAAGATATCGGAGCTTCTGCTCGTGCAACATCCTAGCAATGGTGTTACGTCGCTGAAACGACGTCCATCGATAAGTTTCCAACACCGTTATGACCAAACTGGCGTTCGTTGCTTGGAACGCCGAGCTTTCCCCTCGCTTTCGTGAATTAGGATCCGAAGGAATGTTATTCGAAGATGCTGTAAGGAAACTTTCGAGGATCGATGTTGGTTCTAGCGGAGACTTCAAATCGTACTTGATGTATCTCGTTTCTTTTCATACTTGAGTCGCCTATTGTTACATCCGTCCATTGTATCGCTTATTCTAGGATGCATCTCTGTGAAGAATTGACGAGAAGAATACGTATCTACCGGTTCCTACGTTTTAACGCTACAACTACCAGGTCAAGAGATAAACAACTCGGTGTCGTGAGAAAAATTTTGTACGTTAAAAGTACTGCATTCTTGGAGATTCGAGCGATATCCCTGTTTTGTAAAATATGCTAACACAAGGTTTCTGCTTCTCTTACGTTCTGTACTTCTTCGTACGCTTTCCATATGATTTCCCTCGTACGAGCTTTGTCATCTTGTATTACGTTGTCCGAAAAGTTTCTTTCGTTCCGCGTGGAAATAACGCGCTACATTTTTCCTTTTATATTACGTTTTGTTATTTATATTTCGTTCTATTACTACAAAATGGATCATACATAATTCACTGAAATACTATTAAGAAAAGTGTCTTTCTTTCGCAAACGTGTTTTTTACAACAGTGCACCTTCGTACAAACGTGAAACCGAGTCTGTGAAATGTCGCGATGTTTATCTCAACGGAACAAAATGGATCGCACGTAATTCGACAAAATAATATAAAACAAAAATCGTTGTGCGTCTACTATTTCCTCATAAAACGAAAGAAACTTTTCAGGCAACCTAATATAAAACGAAAAAAGTCACGCATCTATTGTTTCCTTGTAAAACGAAAGAATGTTTTTGGACAAGCTAATATTTAGCTTAAGAGCATCTACGTTTTAAATTGAATCGTAAAGAAGGGCAAAAGCTATTACAGAATGACCATAGATCAGGAGTAGAAGCTACAGAACAATTGCACGGGAAGATCGGACGGAACAGTACGCGTTGTCTATCGATCGGCTCCTCGAACGCACTGGAAAGAACATCGCCTTAAAAATCTCGCAGATTGGACCGTCGAAGACGTAAAAATACGCGCTTAATTTGCCAATGAACGGGATAGCCAGGCTATAGAGACGTCTTGGTAATTCGGCTGGCAAGGATGTCTGATAATGGAAATGCGAGAAGCTTGTTCCTTTCCCTTGTTCGGTGGAGGACGTGCAGCCAGGACCGACGATTGATCGAAGCTAGCGAATCGTTACGTTCGTTTGCGCGTTGGCGCTGCATAAAATTCAATAGCCTCGATTTGTTTGCTTTGCTTCGATTCAGCAGCTAGTGACGGTAGTAGGCGACCAAGGGCGACTATAAATTCGAAGCTAAATAGAAGTTGTCGAAATGCAACGGTCGAATTATGGATATTAGGAGTCTTTAATAAACGTTATTACGTTCAGCATTGGCAAATTATTCTCCAACGAATGAAATGTGTATAGTTAAGCTGGAATCCTCGATTTAACGAAATCGTTGTTATTACGCGATGCGATTACAACGAATATTTACGCACACTGCCTGTGCACACTGCGTTTGTCCATTCCGGTATTCCCCGGAACGTAACATCGAAACGAAGCTTGTTACACGACGTAATATAGTCGTTGAATCTCTTCTTCCGGACGAAATGTCTTTCTGAAGACATGGCATCGTTCGGGGAACGAACAATTTTCACACGATAACGTGAAAAGGTTCATCCAATCTATCGGGCGAGAGGCATCGGGGGACAGCGAGGGAGTGGCGCGACCTCGAGGTACGAGCATTGTTCGAGCTCACAAAGGCTAGATGCGATAAATTATCAGCGAGCACGGGTCTGCCGCATATCACCTCATATAGTAACCCCGTAAAATCCAGTCTGAATACGGGACAGGCCAGCAAAGGCGGAGCCGCGCTGGCTGTCACGATTGTTTGATAAATTCCCGTTACCAGTGATAATCATTTACCGATTCGCGATCTGCAATCTGCGTTAATCACGTTCTTTCGCCTCCGATCGACTAATTGAATCTTTCTGAAAAATTTATTTTCATTACTCCAGAGGAGAAGCGAGAAGAAACATAGTTATGGCCTGCGATGATAAACGATGTTCCACGCACAGTGGCCAGTGATATTTTGCGCCGGATTCCGTATTTTTCGCGGTTTAGAGCTCTGTAAACTCTGGTTAATCGTAGCGGTAGCGCACGTAGCATCAACGAACAGGCGAATGGAGATTAAAAGAAATAACGAAGCTCGGTGGTCTAGGGGCGAATTTCACGGGTTCATCGACGAGAATAAACGTCTCCGGTGTCGACCTCGGTATGTTTTCCACGTTAAGGTCGGCTACCCCACGGAAATGAATAAAATTGTGCTGGTAACGCATTGTCGCGTGAAAACCATGGCCAGCGGCGTGCAAACGCGTTTATCACCGGTCTGTGTGCGTTGGGGTATGCATGTCAACAAGCATCCATCCCTGTTACACGCGTATGATTATCGGAATAAATCAGTCCTCTGTGCTTTTATTCAGCTACAGTGCGCGTCCATTTGCATTTCCGTGGTCCACCGTTGGCTCGGTCGTCGCAATTATGCTCGTCTCCTGTTCGTAACGTCGCGTACAGTTTCGTTGCTTTTCGTTGAAAAAGGAACGCGGAAAAAGGGGCTTACGGTAGGAGATGCGACACACGTTCGCGAGGAAAGTAAATTTAGGCCAGAGTTCTCTTCAGAGGTACGATAGCGGTTTAAACACGTTTAGTTTCTCTGTGAGATATACAATTTTCCGACGATGCTTTAAAAATATCGCGAGCCATTCATATCGGAAAATACGAGCGTCGTTGTAATTTTCAGATGTTGCGCGATTAGAGGCGAACCGAGCGTTAGATTCAATGGCCGAACGCGAGGATTCCAGCTTAACGTCTTTTATCATCGGACAATACGAACGGACAACACGACATATTATAATCTGCGCACGTTATTTTCTTTTATCAATTTGGAACGGGCCATTGTTAGCGATAATCGCCTGGGACGATTGTCATTAGCATACGAGGCAACGATATATCACGCGACGCGGTTTATTTTATCCGAGCTTCGCGTTTATTTCAAAACTCACGATATTCATCGATCTCTGTTTTCTTATCGGTCGCATACGATGGTGTTGGAGCGATGTTCGTGCATTGACGGAGAGGAAAATTTACGGTTGCGTCAAGACGATGTGCTTGACACACGTCTGCGTTCAGAAATATAGACGCGTTGTACAGGCGGCTTCGGCGCGCTTGTTAAAAAGCATCTCCTCTCTTGCGAAAGAAATTTCCGGACGGGCTTTCCCACGAACAAACGAGCCTTGAAAAGGCAAAAAATTTCGAAAGAAACGGCAGTCGTTTGAAAAGCGGTGAAAGAGACCTGCTTATCGCGGCTTTTCTCCGTTACGGGCACAATAAGCTGATACTTGATTTTATTCAAAAGAGGCCGCGTAGCACTGAAAAAGGCTGTCTTGACCGCGCCGTTACAAATTTCGCAGGGCTTCTCTTCCACCGCGCTGCCGACGAATAAACGCGTTCAAGCGAACCCGCCTCTCAATGGCTTCCTTCCTTTGAATAGCGGAAATTCATTCGGATAAACGGCCCACGAAATTAACCTTACCATCTTTAATTAAAAAATTCACGAGCCATTTACTTTTCTTCTTTCGATTCTTCAGCCTCGTTTTTCTTATTTCCACGTTGGTAATCTCGCTCTTTCCATCTCGACGCGAACAAGCCTCCTTTTTCTCTTATCTCGATTTCAAGCCTCGTCTTTGTTTTATCCACGTCACGACGTTCCTAACTATTTCTCCTCTGTAGTTTTTATATGTTACAAAATAACGTCGTATATTCGAGGTGTGTCGTTCGAGAACGAACTTCGTTGCCAATTATCGTCGAACCTAGAACAAGAGATTCACCGACGGTTGTTTAAACGTATTATTTTATCGTACGACGTTTCGACAGTTGCCAGATTACGCCATTTAAATTTCAAAGAGACTCCATTGTATTCGTAGACTAATGGCTGGAACTCGTGAAAATTGTATCGAACACAGGCCGTTTCTCTTTCTCGTTTAGTTTCCAGATCTCGAAAGTCTGCTCGAGTAGCGTAGCCGAACAATTCCCTTCGTGACTTTCTTCCACCAGGAGTCGACCATCGTTCCACTGGAATCGCGAAAGGAGACCGTAGGGAGATCGTATTTCGTCCACGCCAGGCGAAACGTCCCACAAAGTGACACCATCTCTTGCAAGATTTATCGCGAGGTTCGAATGGATCCAGCCGACGTTGTTGCCTGGCTTTCATCTCGACATCGGTCCGTCCAGAATTCCGGACAAAAAGCAGCCGGACAAAGAGGGCTCTGAGCTTCAGTAAAGTACTTCCTTCAATCCATAGTGATAAATGTGTCGTGCAAATCGCCTGTTTCAAGGCGTCGCCATTAATTCACCCCATGTGGGCGAGCCGGGTCGTTTGTATCCGCGCCTAAGCTTTTTATCGTTCTTCCCTAGGCTTTCTTAAGGGTCTTTAAAAAATTCTGAAATGTTTATCGAAGTCTCTACCGCGTTGTACGATCAGTTTTTCAGCCGCGCGTTTAAAAGAGTTTGCCCGTGGAAAATAAACGACTGTTCGTAAAGTTACCTGAGTAGGTAAAATTATCTGGAAACAAGATTAGAGAAAAACTTCATCAACGAATCGAGCAATTCTTCGTGCAGAGGTTAAGGGGAAGTCGAAAGCTTTCTTTGTTCCCTCCAACATCGCACATTTCCAAAGTTATTCCGCATACCGCTTGTAAATTCTACCCTTCGAGATCTTTTTCACCGAGTTACCAAGGACGAAGGATTGTTAGCGGCAGAGGTAATCTCTTAATTGTCCTCGCGTTTCTGTATTCAGCATCGGGGGTGTCCTTGAAGTGGCGCATACTTTTCACGCGTAAAACAGCCAGCCCGCAATTACCGCTAATTGCGTCCCATTCTCTCTCTCTTTTTCTTGCTCGTCATTGAAAAAGAACTTATAGCTAGTCAGGAGTTCGTCACGTAGAAAATTCGTTGAAAATTGTCGTGGACTGTGAGCGTGATATCCTTGCTCCGTGGTGTTTTTCCACGGAAATGGCGGTCGCGTACGACTTACCGGGAATGCTGGTACCAAGAGCGACGAAAACCACCGCGGTAACCGAGTCCTTGATTCCCAGGGTGCAGCCGAAGTAGGATGCGACGTCTCCGATTACCGCCGTCACCACACCGATTCCGAATATGCTGATGACAAAGCACAGGTAACCACCGGCGATATCTGAAAACCGATACAGTCCAGTTTCAGTAAATTGCATAGCTGCTGCACGTGGAAACCTATCGAATTGCCAGGACAATTATTTCCGCGAGGATTACAGACGCGTGTCGGAAAGATTCTAACGAGGCAAGAAATTTCGTACTGTTCGAAGAGAACGACATTTCGTCATTATTTGATACGCTAGAACTTCGTTTATGTATACGAATTTGTTAGTTAAGTTGGTTAACAGTTAATTGGTATTCATATGGAAGCGATTCTACATGCAAAAATAAGTGGGGAAAGGAGAGTAACGATTTTTTTCGTTCAAGGTTTCGTTTTCAAGAAAAATTGCTTCTTCTTATTCTTGTTATCTTATCTCCGGAATATCGATTATTACCTTCCTTCATTCGGCATTTAAATCGTATGGTTTCATGAATAATTCACGAAGAATTATTTTATTAAACAGCAAGCAGGAATCTTGACGTTGTTCATGTTTAATAATACGGACGCGAGTAGAAACACAAGTTCCGTAATTCGAAACTTCCAGTTAATACACGGGTAGTTGATGGCTTTTCAAACTTTCCTATTTCGAAAAATATTATCCTTTCCTTTACGACTTATCTTTGCACGTAGAATCATCGCTTGATTGGTACCATGACTTCGAAGACAGTCTGTGCGTATAACAGGAGTTCGTTAATTCTCCCAATTATTTGTAATTTGCGTTCAGATAAATAGATTTTGATTAATCTCATGGCTAAGATCTGGAAATATGGTAAATCAGTTTTATCTAAAGATCTCTGATAATTTACATAATTATAATTGAGTCACTCTCGCGTCGAAAACGAAGAAAATATGGTTTGCCTTACGTTCACGGAAACACTTAATAGCCTCTAATGCGGAAAAGTAAAAACCTGAAGCAGCAAATAATTAAAGAAACGTATAAATAGAGAAATAAATATGAATGTTACGTACTGGTAGTTAACGCACTGACGGCGCTAGTATCGCGACACCTTAAACGTAAAATATACGTGAAAAATTCTCCCAAGCTGAAATTACTCCGGTTATTTGTATTCGCCTGTTGGAACAATCTTTGTTGCGCGGAAAATACATCATAGTTTCGTAATTAAGTCAGATTAGCCGAGAAAGACGTCGCACGTTCTTGTTACTGATATTAACGAGGGAGAAGCAACGGAGACGTTTGAATTAAATAACGCGCCGACGTTTGTTTGCGCGAAGCGTTGGCACACAGGCACGATTAAAGCGTTAATTAAGCTCGTCGGACGGTGGTGTATATTTTTCTCTTCGGAGTCCTTTCCATTTTGATTAAACGTTCGCATCACAAGGCGCATAAGCCGGTCACACGATTAATTTCTTTTCGCGATTCGTCTTCCTTCCTAATGTCTCGGCTCTATGACATCCAAGATTCATTACATATTCGTCGTTTAATATTGAATTAGACATAAAATTAGATGGTTCGAGGGAATCGACGTTCGAAACAAGATTCGCAAACACGTGCAATACACGTCGTGTTTACTGGAAAATGGTAGCAAGCGATCTTCGACACGATGCGACACCGATGTGTCTTAACTTTGATCAGCGTACTGGAAACCGTGACTGTGTTTGCTAATCAGCATAAGCTCTTCAAGTTCATGCTAAGTAAACGCGAGGGGATTAAGGATACCCAGTTATCTCAACGCCTGAGAATGATGTTCAGCCACTCGTATCTTGTTTGGAGAATAGATCGCTCGACGATGCTTAATTGGCGAAGTTTCGCAACGATGCTTCTCCGTATTATTTGTCTCCGTATTAGCTCTGTTATATATTTTTCGACCCCAGTGGCGACGTTTTTTTTATTAATTTTTCACAACGGATCTGGCATTCTTTATCTGGCCGTGAAACCAGTTTATCCTGCATCGGGTGAGGAATTTGGAACACGAGGTCGGATCGAGCTTCAATCATGTGGTGGAAGAGTTTCGCGAAGTTTCACGTACGGCTAGCCGCACTTTCATCGAGGCGATGGATCACTTGGATTTCCATTTGCTCGTCGTGGCGAATTATTTGTTCCCGACATTCCTGCCGGGGAATTGTAGCCTTGACGGTTCGCCGATCGATATAGATGAATTCCGCGAGGCAAATGGAATCGTCGTGTTACGAGCGCAATTTCCATTCCACACGTTCGTTTGTATTCGCGTACCCGTTCTTTCGCCTCCGTGTTCTTTTTCCTTTTTCCTGCCAAGGGGATTAATTCGTCGAACGACAACGCGGGGCTGTTTACGTTCGATTAATGTGTGCCGGTTTTTTTCCACGTACTTTCTCAACAGCCCGAGTCGTCTCGCTATTCTCATTGCCAGCGTCAAAGGAATTCCTCGAATTCGCTAGCTCCGGCTCTGTTTTTCCGAACGACGAAGTTGCGATAAAGGAAATTAGAACAGTTGGTTAATGAGGTGCTCGAGAGAGTCCCTTTGAATTAAACAAAGCCGACGATCAGAGCTACAAGGAAACTGTAGAACAGCAAGAGACGAGAATCTCTGGCGTTTCGGTAAATTCCAAACTGTCCCGACGACAAGCGGAGGCTTAACTCTTGAACTTTAATAGAAGCGAGTTGCACGGCCGACGCGCACGCGCTAACGTTGCACCAGATGCACACTCGTAGACGCGCAAGTTTCCCGAGTCCCATTAGACCGAACAATGAGCTTTTTGTGCAAGCTTGTCATCGATGTCAAACGTCCTGATCGTTAGAGAGCGGTTTATCGTGGCGAGGATCGCTTACCAGGCGACGCGGGATTAGGATTGAGATCGAGCGACTCGTGTAACCGTCAGGATTACGACAGCAATCCTTCCGCTGTAAATGCATCTCGGCATGTCGAAGACGTCTCGACCTTAATCCTTCTCATAGCGGAACCTTGGTCTCCTTGGTTCACCGAAATAGTACGATTCCAGCTAGTTTCGCTTGTAACACGGGAACAGGGCGAATTTCGCATTATCATCATCGAACGACGATCACCAAACCTGACCGTTTACTTTATTGTTTACTTGGAAAGTCAAAGAGTCGCAGATAATCGGGGGGATTTTACTAAAAAGCTTTCCAGAATTCCGCAATCTTTCGGTTGAATCTGCAAAAACCCTGTAGGATTTGGAAATTTTGCTAGAAAGATAAGGGCGTTTTTAGATCGAAAGGAGCTTTCTCTGAGATCCGCAAGATCTTTATAGAACGGGAATATTTCACAAGAATCTACAGACGATTCGGTAGAGTTTGACAATTTTACTAGAGCTGTTCTACGTCGGACGGTCATTTTATGGGAATTCGTGAAATCCTTTTTAAAACCAGGACACTTTTTTATTAGAATTAGGCAAACAGAATTCTAGTGGAATTGGAAATCTCACTGGAAGGATAATTCCAGATCGTAAAAACTTTTCATTGCAGTTGGAATTTTTCGCTGGAATCTACAGAGATTCTTTAGGGTCCGCAAATTTTACTAGAGGTATGAGATCGCAAGATTGGAATCTATAGAAATTCCATAGAGAGCAGAAATTTAACTAGAACGTGTAAGAATATTCTACATCATGGAAATTCTGGTTACAGCCCGTGAAAATTCCCCAGACAATGGAAAACAAGGGGAATTATGGTACAAGTTAATACGTGTTCGAGAAGATCGAGGATCGCGTTCACGCGTTTGATTACTTTTGGGAGATCGTTGAACGGAGCAGTCCGAGATGGATGGAATTGCCGGAGATCCGTGGAATTTTATTTTACTCGACGAAAGTCTGGCTTCTCTCATCGTCTACGTTTCTAAAGTTCGTAAACAGGGTCGGTTAACCGCCACTGTTCTGGAATTTGTATCTGACGTCTGATCCTCTCGTAGATCCTCGAAATCTACCGACCCACGAAGGAACTTTCCTGCAGGATTTCCAAAGTTCGTAACGACTGTAGTTCGCTCAACCACGTGCGAATGCCTGCAGCACCGAAACTGTTCGAACAGGCCACGTACTCAACGAAGCAATTAATTTTCTTTTTCTTTTTTTTTTTTTTTTTGAGCAATAGCCATAGACGACGGTGATCGATTCCGTCGATGCGAGTTACGTGCTTTTATCTCAGCATCCACCACTTAATCCACTGACATGGGTTCTACTTTAGTCAGAAACTTGTGTAATCGCAAAATTAATAATTAAATAAGAGCGAAACGATTTTCATTGTTGCTAGTATACACGTAATCGTCGATAGAAATAAAACGTCGTATTAAGAAATAGAAGAGCCATAAGTAAAGAAATTATTACGTTCAAGAGGTGGAAGATTCGATCGACGTATTAACTCGTCTTCCGGATAATAGGTTGACTGGTGACAAATTGCTCGATATCGATAACAAAACTCAAACGATTTTGAGAACACACTGAGACGACCCACGCTATTTTATTCGCCCATACCCGAATATGGTTAACGCTTCGATGGCTCTCACGCGTCACCGTTTTCCCAATAGACCCGCTTCCTACCATTATTGGCTTGTACTTCCACCCTTACAACCCTCTCTCTGTCACGCTTCTGAAAACTACCTGAGGAAATAATGGTACTACGGATATGATGATAGATGAGAGCATATGTCGCATCATGTGGCCAGAATGGTTCCTTGAATTCAATTTCAAAATATTTCTGATGAGACACTCTTATCGTCGGACCAAAGTCACGAAGGTAAAATCCTGCTGGAAGAAATTTCCAGTAGTCAGTTTCCATCATGATCGGCACACGAAGCGGTTTCAGCAACGTGGTTTGCCAATAAATCAAGCCGCAGGTTGACCATCGACGCAGCCAATACTCGAGGAGACCAAGGATCGATATAGCCACGAGTCGACCTGAGAACGGCGTAAATGAGATCAACTAACACGCGTGGTGGATCATCGATAACATAAATCATCTTACCGCGTCCAGGACTTTTCCCGATCGATCGACTGGAGGGACGCTGATTCCATCGTGGCAACATCGATCGTCTCTCGATTTAAAATTCATGGCACGTGGTTGTTGTTTGCGGTCG